CGATAATGTTTCTGTCAAACAAACACTTTTAACAATCCATAATTTTTAGATTTGAAATGGTTTTAGATCGAATTTGAAAAAAAAATAATAATTTTGCTCAAAAACAAGGGCATTTCAAAATTTCTTTGAAATGCAAATTTTAGTTTCAAATTTTCTAAAAATTTTGAATAGGAAGAGGTACTTATTAAATTCTAGAATTAAAGTGTGTCCAATGGCCTACCGAAAAATGTCTACCATAATGCATAGGTATTCATTTTTCGATTAGATATTCAAAGGTTAGGTCAGAATGCCGCCATATTGAATTTAAGAAAGTGCCTTCTCACGCCGCCATCTTAAAAGCAAATTCCACTTATCATATGTCATTGGAAAGGGAATTTTAAGCTCTATCCAACTGTGTAAAAAAAATATACAGGGTTCCATAAAAATTTCTTGACTTGGGTCCATTTCCAAAGTAACCGGAAGTGATATTCAATTGTTTTTTTATGAAAAGTGTGCGTCTCAATGACTTACCCGTTACACCCGATTTTCAAATTTTTAAATTTAAAGACAACTGAATGACGCCTTGTATAATGATTTCGTTGTCATCCGGTATAATAGAAAGTTCTCGTGCCTCAGACGCTACGCTAATACGGTACCGCTAACAATACGGTATTTTTATTTTAAATGGCATTCTATAGTTCTCGGACACGAAGACACAAAAGTCCTCTAATCCCTTATTTTGTTTACATTTTGACAGCTGAATTGAGTGATCTAACCTAACTTTTTTTGCTTGTTTGCCAACTTTTATTTATACTGAAGATTCCTGAGTTTCATTAATTTTTCCTTGGTGTTTTTTATGGAGGCATTATTAATAGTTGCTGTTCTTGCAGGCGTAAATGGAGCGTAAACTAATTTTGACATAGCATAGCGTTACGGTAAGGCATCCGCTAACTCCCGTTAGGTAGCGGGCTCCGTTAACGCTAATACCGTAAGAACTGTCATTCTTGTCAAATAACGTTACGAGATTTGAAATTTGGACAGCACGAGAACTCTCTAATATACTATTCTCTTGCAAAAAAATTATTCCTTCAATTAAAATACCTATATTCAAATACATAAGGAACGAGATTTAGAAACAATAATTCATCTCTTCTTGACCTTTTTCTATGCAATACAAAAAACTCTGTCTATGAGATAAAAGACAATCCACCAGTCGGAAAAAGTGATCATTTAGTAATTACAGCCAAATCGCAAATAAAAATGATTATTAAACCAACTCAAAATATACTCAGGCGTAACTTAGACTGTAGATTACATTGCTATTAATAATCACTTGCAAGAACAATTCCAAAATGTCACACCAACTACAATGCCCGCTAACGTTATATAAAGTGATGTTGAAAATATTTTAAACTCTACATTAGATAAGTTCAGTCCAAACGTTTCCGTAAAAGTCAATTCGCAGAAATCATGGATTAATCAGCATATCTTCAAGGATATTAATAAAAAGAGAAAGCTTTGGCATAAATATGTCAATAACAGAACGATGGAAAACTACAGAATTCAATGTAACAAATTAAGTAAAGCAAAGAATTGCAGAAGCACGACAGAAATTTGAATAATAATGCATTAATAACTGATCCAAAAGATATGGGGGAACAGTTTGCTATGCAATTTAGCAAAGTATTCAGCTCAGACCCGATCATGAGACCAACTTTACCGGATGATTTGAGAATAACTAATATGTTAAACAGGATAGAATTTACAGACGAAAAAGTGAACAGGGCTTTAAGTGAAATGAAGTCAGAATCCATCAGTCCGAGCCCAGATGGATTTCCAACAATATTCCTACAAAAGTGCCAAGCCACTATTGGCTTAACCATCTTTCAGGATTATTTCAACAATGTACGGATTCGGGGAAAATTCCAGAAATATGCAAATATGCAACGGTGACTCCACTTTATAAGAAGGGTGACAGACATATCGCAGACAATTATAGACCCATCAGCTTGACCTGGTGGGGGATTCTCATCCTCTAGTCTAGTGAGTCGGGACGATAGGTTGCGACTAGAGGATGAGAATCCCCCCCTGTAATCCTTTTGCAAATGTCTAGAAAAAATTGTTGCTATTGAAATGACTGACTTCCTACTTACCAACAAACTTCTACCAAATTCACAACATGACTTCATTTTAAAGCGTTCAACAGAACAATAACGAACCTTCTAAGCTGCGTTGATAATTGGACCAAAGCTCATTAAAAAAGGCAACCGACAGATGTAATATACCTGGACTTTGAGAAAGCGTTTGATATTTTTTCTAAAGTACCTCATTCATTGTTGCTCTACAAGCTTGAATAATTTGGTATAAGAAAGAGGCCAGCTTCTTGCTCTAATCAACGACTTTCTCACCATCCGCTTCTATCAGGTGAGAGTCAATGGTATTTTGTCCGATAAACATCCGGTTATGAGTGGGGTCCCTCAAGGGTCGGTTTTGCGACCATTGCTGTTTCTGGTTTTTGTTAGCGATTTGTCATGGAACATTGGGACAAACATTATTTTCTTTGCTGATGATACCAAGGTGTTCTGTAATCCAAGTTGCAAATGGACTGCTTGAATAGGGATCTAGGGCGAATTGAGATATGGACAGACCAGTGGTGCATGAGGCTCAATGCATTTAAAATGTACAATACTGCATATTGGTCCGAATAATCCACATGAAGCATACTTCCGTGCTGATTTCTTATGATTTGAAATGGGAGCCCCATATAAATAGGATAGTGAAAAAGGCCAATAGTTTTATTTTCAAAGTGCAAAAGACTTTCAGATCGTGAGGGAGTTGTACGCCTTCTATATCAGACCGAATATCGAGTTTGCTTATAGTATTTGGAACCCCTACTACATCAAAGACATTGAAATTTTGGAAAGGGTTCAAAGGCGGGTTACCAGAATTCCATTAGAGTTGAGAGGACTAACAGTGGGACTAATCTATCCTGAAAGACTGGAAATATTTGGGGGCTAACTACTTTGAAACAAAGAAGAACTAGGGTTGATCTGATGGAAACCTTTAAGATTCTGTCAGGCTACCATTCTTGTGGCTTAGGAACTTGGTTTCATTTAAATCGGAACCAGCACTTGCGCGGACACAAAAAAATTAAGCAAGAAAAGATCAGCATCGCTTCCAAGAAAGAATTTCCTCACCAATTGGATTGTGCAAATATGGAACTCACTTGAAGAAAGTACAGTATTCGCAAATAGTGTAAACTCTTTTAAAAACTGTGTTGACCGTTATTCAGAGCAAACAGCCCAGAAATTTGTACATTACGGTGCCTAAAAGTGTTCACACTGAATTTTTGTCTTTTTTTCAAAATGTATTAGGACCTGTCAGGTATCCACCATAACAATGTGCTCCATAATCACGACGAACAATCATATTGAGTATAGAGACTAGAACAATACCTTCATCGAATTTTCCGCTTGCTATAACAATAATAATAATAATAATAATAATAATAATAATCGGGTCTATTCTGTAACTCTAATCGAATCGACAAGAAAAATTTCCACAGTTATCGATTCAAGTTTTCGATTGTCGATTCGATTTAAGTTACAGAATAGACCCGAATATCAAAATTAGAAGAAGTATATTCACGATTCGGAATTGTTGTATCAGAAAAAAGGCAGTCATTTCACTTGCAACGAATTTAAACAATTTTGTCAGAAGAATGGTATTGAACATTATACGCACAGCAGCATATTGGCCACAGTCAAATCGTCAGGCAGAAAAGTTTCTTGGCTGAAATCCAGATTGATGAAATTTTAAACAAATCTGAAGAAGATTTGATTTATGCAAAAATAACAAGTTCTGTTGGATTCCTGGAAAAATCATAGAACCAATTGACAATGTGATCTACAACATACTAGTGTTTTATCCTAAATAATCACAATATATTAAGATGTCATACTTATCAAATTAAAAGAAGATACCTATGTTGAAGAACCAAATCAAAGTTTTCCGATCCAATAACATTTTTTAATTTGCAAGACAACGTAGAACAAAGTTCAGATCAGTGTTTAGATAAAGAAGTTTTCATTGAAAATACATCAGATAAGACAATTTAATAGAATTCACAACAGAAAATACAAATACTGAAGAAATGATCGACTGTGAAGAACATAGTGCAAATACTGCCACTTCCAATGAAGCTGTTCTGAAAGAATATAATTTGGATAGTCAAGTCAAGGGAAGGTTGAGAAAAAGATCTTCGTATTTAGAGGATTTTATTGTAAAAAAAGCAGAAATGTTAGGAAACAGTACCAGAAGTATCAGGACATACCTGAAAGTAGGTTAACCAGCGAGTCGAGTTTTGTCATATTGATTGTCATTTTAAACAAATATTGTTGTAGTTAAGGTTTAAAGTCAGGCCTATAGTTTATTACAGCAACACGAGATGTCAATGCTGTCGCCCCTATAGTGTGCCACCTTGACTGTCAAAAAAAATAGGAATCTTCATTTGGTTAAATTGTGTGATGGAACGTTTTTTATTTTTTTGGCGGAAATTCGAAGTATTATTCTGTTTTACATAAACAGGGTTGGAGTTTCGACCAACGCAAATAATTTTGAACGTTCATCCGTCGAATTTTTTTCTAAACAGTGTAGCTACGGGCGTATTTCCAACTATTTTTGCAGTAGCGAGAAAACTACAAGTTCAAAAAATTTGAAAAAAATATATGTCGCGTAGAATTGCAATAGTAGTTCGTAATAAAAATAATGGGAAACATCATCTATTCGTTTTGAAATAAATGGTGAAAAACTACATTTTTTTTCAGTTTTTGCGATATAACTGAAAAATGGCGAATCGAGGTTGCTTGAAAAAATTATGGATTAAAGTATGTATATCGATAACCATAAAACATATATTTTTTTTTGGACATTTTGAACACAAGGTTCAGAAAATAGAGGTTGACTAAACCTTAATCCGAACTACAATACTTATTAATACAGTGAAACCATTTTTTTTAATGCTTTTATTAAACTAAACAGTACAAAATATATAGATATTAATATTAAATAATAATTCTTTACCCTGTTTATTACCTACTTGGAGCAATGAATTTATTCAAAAATGCTTGTTTGGCATTATACTATAATAAAAATAAAAAAATACTTCTAAGAAATTAAACCAAAATTGAACAAGACAATATTAATATAAAAATATACAAGACAATTTTTGCATTGTATTATTAAATAAGTATATTATAAAAAAACTCTCTTAGTATTTGACCCAAAATAAAACATTGTTTCAACTATCACAATAATTATTAAGGCCTTGCGTTTTATTATATTTTTCACTTACTTATTAGTCTTTTTATCTTTCATGTATTTAAATCTTCTCACTATTTCGTCTTGCATTGTTTGGTTTCTTTCAATATATGGAGCACCGCACAAGGTACCCAATCGCTTGGCTTGGTCCATCAATGCTTTCCATTTTTCATCTTTCACCAACACTAATGGATTACCGATTACGATTAGTTTCGATTTTGTTCGTGTTATAGCAACATTGAACCTCTAAAAAATGATAAAATTAAAAGGAATTGAATATCAAAATACAATGTAATAACAGTTTGTTATGAAGAAGATGAAGAGGAAACAACTTTTAAAATTTTGAATAGAAACATTTTTTGAACTTTCTCCAAACATCCCAGAACTTCCAGCTCAAATTTTTCCTCCAAAAACCAACCTGCAGAATGATTTGTTGAAAATTACACACACAAAAGTTTACCTTTGGTTCCTTAACAAATCCCAATTTGTACTTTTTGTCCTGCAAAAGTAAATCTTCTTGAGCCCTAACGGTCGATATAATCATGACGCGTTTTTCGCGTCCCTGAAAAGCTTCAGTGGTTCCCACTTCTATTAGGTCTCGGTGTTGGACAGAAAGAGCTTCACGAATTTTGTACACCTAATAACAATTATCAGTAATTTTTAGCACAGAAATTATTATACTTACTTGTCGGATATAGGGAGTTACTATACCAATTTCGGTTGGATCTACTTTTATGTATTGCAAAGACATTAGAATGTTGATGTATTTGATTACCATGTTGACTTCACTTGGATTATAGTAGCTGGAAGAAATTGAAAAGTTAGTTTGGGTCACAATCTAAGAGTACATCTAATTCAAAGCTGCAGCAGCAGCAGAAGATCTTTGGTAAGAGTAATAGTAATCGTGTGACACATTATGGATTACACCCCGCCACCAATGGACACTGAGGCTCAGCAAAACTCACCTCCATCTGGTAGAGAAAAATCTGGAGGCGCATCAGTAGGCTTCGAACCTACTAGTGCAAACCCTCAGCCACAAACAACCAAGGCAAACCCCGAGAGGAGAAATTCACTTCTAAGCAGTCCAAGCTCAAGATTATTTATGATAAAAACTCCAATGACGTCAGAGCTTGTATATTTGTTAAAAATGAAGTACATCGTTTCAAACCGAGATTAACTGGGGAAAAAAAAAACAGAAAACTCACTAGTTCAGAATGGAAAGTTAGTATGATACACTGATGTTTCCAAAACCGACAGTGGAACCTGTGCCGCAGGTATTCTCCACTGGGAAAGCACACCACCGTGTTCCAAGCCGAAATAGATGCAATAGAGATATGTCTGCGGGAAAATCTGAGATAGTGATATGTACATAAGGATATCACGATCTTCTCAGACAGCCATCAAGCAGCTATCAAAGCTATAGCATGCCAACAGATAAACTCTAAATTAGCCTGCAACTCCTTTTAACCCTAGCCAGCCATAACAAGGTAACCAGACATACTTGTAAAATTTTTGACTTAAGTACTGTTTGGAAGTCACGTATTTCAAATCCTTTTTAAAATTAAAATTATTCTCTGAATATAAAGAAATTTATAAAATTCTCCAAACTACGCAGCAACTTTTAACTATTTAGATTTAGAGCCAAGGTTTCTTAATTTGCAAAGATCGTGATTTTTAAGTAATTCCAGATGCCTTGAAAGTTGTCTCAGATGCTTCAAAAGCAACTACGGTCCAAGAAATGTTGTCACATAACCAAAAAACATTTACCTTGGTGAGCGACCTTCCTTTCTTTCAGAAGCCAACACACAACAAAATTCAATAGGAGAACCGTTTTGGTTATGAACGCCCTTATCCACAATCAGTTTATAAAGGTAAGTCTTCGCCAAAAGGTCACTTTGAGCATCGGCTGATACTGCCTAGAAAAAAAAATCAACAATTTCCTAACAAAAACATTAAAAAATCTTACCTTCAATTGGTTATCATAAAAAAACTTATTGGGCAACTGAATAATCTCAGGATGCGATCTGAAATTTAACTTCAACATTGTCACGAAGTTATTATCGGTGTCGCGCTTGTACACTGGGAAGCTCATGAGTCTTTCCAACAAGGAAACATCTAAAAAAAAATCAATTAATCCAATAATCAAACTAAAACAATCAATTACTATAACGATTTTTGATGCAAACTTTCGAATGAACAACTGGGCCTAATTGCTGATGATCACCGGCCAAAACTAACCGCTTGTCGTCCCGTAGGAGGCCAATGGCGCAACAGGCTTCTGGTTCTCGAGCTTGTGCCGCTTCATCCAAGAATACTATATCAGGATGGTATTCTCTGAAACAAAATTAATTTAATTGGGTGAAGTGTTCATTCCATAGAAAACTCACCTGCTAAATTTTCCAGCCAATACCAAAGTAGTTACAATTATTCTGTAATTACTCAATTCTTCTCTCAGAAAACGTGTAGCGATTTTTGTCCCGTCTTCTTCCTTCATTAGATTGCAATAGCTAAGGATGTCATCGTGCACAGAAGAACTATAAACAAATTATATTTATATAAACAACAAAACGACAATCAGTTTCCTACAAATCGCAATTCTCTGAAAGGACCCTTCTCAATTCTTTTTCAGTACAAAATGGTATAAGTTTCTCAGTTAACATGTTACAAGCGGCATTGGCTGGTGCGCAAATGAGGATTTTAAACTTGGTGAGCCTTTTTAGTTGGTAAATGGCCTCCACAATGGTTACAGTCTTACCTATAAGCAATTATTATTATGCAATATAGTTTGAAATTACAACATACCGGTCCCTGGTGGTCCGTAAACAATATAAGGTGCCCCTTTGGAGGTGTTATTTACTATTTTTTCAACGGCTGTCATTTGTTCCTGATTTGTATATATTTGTTTGTTGAACAACCTATGGGATTATAAAATTTAGTACAAAATTTATTGACTAGTAAAATGCTCTCACTCATTTCTGCCAATGGTAATTGGCTGACGAATATTTTTACGTGGAGCATCACTGGGAAATAATTGACGAAGAAAGCCGTTAATTTCCACTTGTTCCACACCGCGGTGCATTCTTTCGTAATGGATTCTTCCTAGACGAAATCTGACGTCCATTTCAAGTTTCGGGCATTGTTGGATGTTGGTAACAATACTACAAAAATTAGTAGTAATAATTATTTATTAGTTATATGTTATCTTACTCTGGATGAAGTCCAGTAATAACGCAATATTTGTCCTCAACTTTAAATATAACTCCTTGGTAAGCAGTATGATCGCCGTGAACTTTTATTTCAATCCTGTCCCCTTTAATTACTGAAGGTCTTTTCTCCGCTAATCCGGGTACTTCTAATTTCAAGCAACCTCCGTCCACATAAGCAAGATTTACCTAAACAAACCAATTAGATTATTGATGAATAGGTAAGAAAAATTATAGTTACATTTTCCATGTTGTAACAACTCAAGCCGATTTCGGTGCACATTTCTTCGAGCCATAATAAGACGTGCCAAAATTCAACATAATTGTTCAATGTAACGTAGCCGGGTTTTAATTTCTCTCTACAATTATTTATTAGTAGTGGATTATTGATAAAGAAAATCCTTACAATATTTGTTGTAGCACTCCGTCGCCGAAATCTTTTGTCAGGGCCCACTTTAGAGTTTTTCTATACTTTGAGGGGATGGGAAACTCATCTGATGGCATAGGTGGCCTGAATATAACAATTATTATTATTATTATTATTAACATTTTTGTGATTGTATAATCAATAAGTGTTGTATGTCTAAATTTTTATCTATTCCAGGCCCTTGAATTTTGATTATTTTTCAATTCCAGGCTCTAGAAGGTTCGGGAATGTGGAATGAATAAAAACTGAGATGAGAAGCCTTATTTCAATTATTTATTTTTTCCCTATTCAACTGTGCGAAACTATTGAAGCTGCACTGAAACTATACACTACAGATTTGTAGATAATTGAATCTGCTCCAATTTGGACCTGCTTACGTTAAGATTGGATCTAAATTAACAAAGTTGTGAGCCAAAATGTGTCTCGATGTCTTTATGGAATAAAATCAAATTTTCAAAAAACAACATTGAAGGACGTTTCATTTTTTTTTTTTGAGGAGAATATTCAAGGGATTGGATTGAAATTTTGCAAGTAGATACAAAAATGAATGAAACTTGAGGAAATCCCATTATGCTTGCGCATCTTGATAAAAATTGAAGGTAAAAACTTTGATGCCTCGCAGCTGCGAAACTATTGAAGCTGTATTGAAACAGTTATTACAGATTTGTGGAAAATTAAATTGGCTTCACCTAATCACAAAGTTATAAGGAAAAATGTGTGTCGATGTCATTTTGGAAAAAAATCAAATTTCCAAAAAACAATATTTTAACCATGGAAAACATAATAAAAATTCAAGCGCCTAGAATAAACAAAAATTATAAAATACCAAAATATGTAGTACCTTGAATATAAAATTCCTACAACATTGATAACACTTACACTTTCACTGGAGGCATTAAGTTTTCAATTATTCCCCATGGGTTGTTAGTAAAGGGACTTTTTTCTATCTGATGTTCTTTGATAACTAAATCGTGAATAGCGACAACCTGGAAAAATTGCAACTCAAATTCAAACCAATCAAAGTCGAGCATTTATGACGAAATTGTTGGATCACAGTGTTTCCAACCAATCAAATGTCAGTATAATTTTCAATCTGAGTAGTTTTTCTACAAAATTAATCCAAGTATTGCAAGACTAATAATAAAGTGAACTGAACTGAATAATAATGCCTTGCCAAAGTCAAAACACTTTCACACAAATTCATATAACTTACAATAGATCTCGCAAATGAAAATTGTTCTCCCTTATCCTTTTTATCGAGGTTTTTATTAAGCGTTTGAACAGTAAACAAAATTGGAATCTTATAATTGCTGACATTGTTTTCTTCAAGCTTTAATTTGACTGTATATGTGTTAGTCCTTCCTAAAAAAAAATAAACTAAATATTAAAAAACAATGGTCATTAAGAGAACTATTCCTAACCGGCTTCAACTACAAAAAAATTTTCTTGATCAGTATGACCGCCCGGATCTGTCATGGAATACAGCATATAAGGATACAAAACTCCCGCATACGTTACAACTATGGGATCTCGTTTTCTGGTTCGGGCATTTTTTATTCTACACTCAAATTCCACTTGGTTTCCGTGTTGTTTGAGCGTCTTTGGTGTCATCTAGAAAAAACCAAGAATTGTCTGAAAATAGGGTGGTTGAAAAGTGTGCATTCTTACGTTTAGGTAATGGGTTCCTTTATTGTTTGGTTCCCTGGTGAAATCGTAGCTGAATCCGTTGAGTTTTTTCACATCGATTTGGAGTTCGACTCCGTTGCTATCTGTACATTGTCTTCTGGAAAGTTTGATTTTTGATATTTAAACGCTTATGGATATCGAAAATTCATTTTGCGGTTATTTTTGTGTTACAATTTAATTGAATTTATTATAGAACCAAGTATAAAAACAATCTAGAACTAGAATTATTTTAAAAATCGTCACATGACACTTCAAAGCTAAGTTAAAACTTCCATGCACATATTAGAATACTCTGAAACACTTCCGAACATGTTTAGAATTTCAATTAGAACTACCAAAAAGTGCTTAAGAATATTTTCAACTAGCTGCTTAAGCAGCGTTTTCCTAGCAACGCACATTTTACGCGGCGTAGAACGTAATTCGGTCGGCGTAAAACGCTGAGGACATGTCTAATGAAAATCAAATGGAGGTGTTTTCCTACACCGCGTAAAAACGACTTGCGCTAGCGCAATACGGTCGACGTAACTGAACGACTGCTCGGAGAGCAGTCTATTCAGTTGTACGCTGCGTGTTGGCAAAGAAAATGCTCCTGTTGTATTATATTTACATACCTCAATGTTAGGCCAAGCTTTTCAGGTGGCGAAATAGGATGTCGCACGCGATTACCATGATTCCTTACTTAAATCTTTTCTCACAAGATTGAAGAGAAATGAGATTTGCTGCCTTGTAACTATAAAATATGCTTTTCAAATTTTACTTCGTCGTCGAGATGTTTATGGATAAGTATCTCTAAATGCTCCTTCGCTTCTTCTTTTGACTAGCAGAATTTCTAGTCCTATCATAAATCGTAACTATTATATCAATCTCTTCTTGCAAATTTTCATCTTGTAATAATAGGGCTGTTTCTGCAGAAATAATAAACCAGTCAGAGTGAATTTCATTGGTTGAAACTAGTTTTCTGACTGTTTCTGATTCTTTTCAACCAATGAAATTCGCTCTGACTGGTTTGTGATTTCTGCAGAAGCAGACATAATAATAAAGCCTCGAATAAAGCCAAAGCTAATTTCTCGAGTAATTTCTTTATTGATATACTCATCGCGACGATCAGGACGCAACTGACAATCCTAGGAAAACACTTTTACGCAGCGCATTAGCTGTTGCGTTGCGTCGGCCGTATTACGTTCTACGTCGCGTAAAATGTGCGTTGCTAGGAAAACGCTGCTTTAGGAAAGGAGGACCCGGTATTCAACCTTATTAATTTAATTGCCGATTTGATCGGTTGTTTATTGCAATTCAGCAATAAATTGATATAAATTGCGCTGCAAGCCGCAGCAAAGGCAGACTTAAACCAGTGCAAGTACCTCTCGTTGGAAAAGCCCCTGTGGAATTAAGTCTCCCCAGTGCAAGTACCTCTCGTTGGGAAAGCCCTTCTGGGTATCTTCAACCCGGGCTTCAACCTTATCGTTGTCCAGTGCAATTACCTCTCGTTGGGAACGTCCCTCTGGACAAGGCATAAGGGCGAACGATAAACTAATCTACAGTCCCCCAAGCAGCGTTGACGTGTGGCCCCCTATAAGGACCCCAGTGTTCAAAGGGTCATGCATCTTAGAGGATTAGCGAACATGTAAGGGCATATTTGGGAAAATATATATCTATATTTTTAAATTTTTATATAACCTGAATGAGTTTGCCACCCCCATAAAGCGGGCAGTTGTGACAATATTTGGGATATTTCTGATAACTGAGAACATTCCCACACTTCAAGAGCATTAAGCAACCAGTTGAAAACTTAAGAAAAGCATGTTGAACAGCTTCAGAATGTGCTTGTGCCAATTTGGAACATTTTTAACCATTTTGGGATACTCTAAAGCACTTTCCTTCCAGGACACTCTAGAAAATTAGAGAAAGATGTTCTAAACTTCTCAGACGAAGCTTCTTGTGCAATAGGGTGGTCTATAAGTGGAATTCCCTAAGTGAAGAAACAGTTACAGCTACTAGTACCAACTAGATCAAAAATAGACTAGATATGGCAATCTCAGCTTAATGTCTAAGACATTCATCATTCTTGTGAACCTGTTAAAAAAACAATCTTCTGAACTTAATACAGCAGCTCACATCAGCTGGTGTTGTTCAAATAATAAGTTTCTGTACTGTATAAAACCATACATTTTATAAAGCCAAAAGTATAAATTACGTAATTGCATCCAAGAGCAGCTTTCAGCTATTTCAAGCAATCCTTACTCAATTATTTTTAGTTTATCACTTAGGTTTTTCCAATAAACCGCTTTAAATGAGTCATATGGAACGCATTATTATGTAGATTAAAGACAAAATTTCCAAGGAAATTCCATAAGAAACAATATCTAGTTATAGACTCATCAAAATAGTCTAGGGAACAAGAAATATCTGTCTTTTAATTTCAAGACAAAGCAACTTTTTTTAAAAGATAATGTGGGTATCATTTATTGAACAAATCTAATCAAATTTACCATATCAGCATTGTTTTGCAAGCTTGTTTAGTACAAATATTTTATAAATAATTGTAAAATCAGCAAAAAGTGTCCGACAAGTATAGGTATTATCTTGTTCCCTGGACCATTTTGATGTGTGAAGATAATTAAATTAAAATAATGTAGTAATTTTAGTGCAGAAACGAAATTCAACTCATGATTCATAACAAAATTATCACGTATTTAGAACAAAAATAGTTTTAACTATGCAAGCATAAATTTTAAGATTTGTGCTTGCATATTAAACTTTTATGGTCAATAAAAATACATACCGCAAATGTACTTTGAAGTATTACATTTTTATTAGTTTTGAAACTAATAAAAATGTTGGCACAAGTTAAAAGGAAATTAATTGCGGGGTGTCAACTTACTTATTTTTTTGGTATTGTTGAAGCATGTAATTGAACCGATGGACAGCGGAATCCCTATGAGATTCATCATTTTCTTCTTCGGTATGACAAAGATCGCAAGGCTGAAAATAAGAAAAAACGTAGTTGACATTGAAAACCAAAGCTTTAGTGATAAATTTTGATCATTTTTGTAGAGTTATCGATTTGATTTACACAAAAATATAGCTTAATTTTATATTAAAATACTATCGTGAATTCTACTTGTGCTTACCATTTTGTTGAATTTTTCCTGCAATTGCAAATTTGGATAATTTGACCCAAGATTTCCCCCCAATATTAACCTTATTTTTGATCTGGAAAAATAAAAAGATTTGCTGATTAGTCCTTATTTATATTGATAAGGATTAAGGAATACAATACCTAGCTGCCAGCTGGATATAACTAAAATTTCCATAAAAAACTATTAAAAAAAAATAAACAAAAAACTCGAGGAGAAAACGGGAAACCACCTGACCACACACTTGATGATTATGATAACTTGATAAATTATTATAGATAAGTAAATTGAAAAATCAACCAGCAAACACTACTGGAAACTGGAAATCACATATTAACATAACCAACCCAAAAAACTAACCTTGGCGAATTTGAAAAATAAATTAAACATGCACCAAATTGGAACTGTCAAAATTTACCGTTTATTTCTGGGTTGCGTTCGAAAATTTACAGGAGCATTCTCCGTGCGTTCGGTATTTTGATCTGAGTTCTCCGAGCTTGAATTTGCCGTTCGTTTATTTAAAAAGTGTACTCAGTGCAGGCTCATTCGCGTTCGTTTATTAAAATTTCTGACACTATGATACAGCGTTCAACTGCTCTGTTCGCTCGCTGGTCACGTGATTACGGCTCCGCTCAGCAGGCTCTGTTCTTTGAGCAAAATACCGAACGCAAGGTAAGTATTCCGAAGCGAAGATCTTCTGACCGTTCGGGTATAGTTTTTTACCGTAGAGTAACTAAGTTCACGTTCCACTAAGGGCGGGTATTATAAAACTGCTTTGACAGTTAACTTGAAGTTAACTTTTTGAATTACATGTAATTCCAGAAGTTAACTTTAAGTTAACTCTCAAAGTAGTTTTATAATACCCGCCCTAAGGGTGGGTATTAAACCTAATAAGCGAACGCGAATGAACCAGCACCGAGCCCACTTTTTTAATAAACGAACAGTAAATTCAAGGGCGGAGAACTCAGATCATTATAGTTGTATTCCTTTCAAGAGTTTAAAACACTCGAGCTACTCGTACCGGTGTTAGTGGACCCCTTAGAGCAGGTTCAATGGAGCAGGTAAAGCGCTGTCTGTCCTACGGACATAAGGAAAACTTGGCTTTACTTTAGTTTCATAAGCAGAATGGCGCGTACCTACTCGAGTAGGTACGCGCCATTCTGCTTATGAAACTAAAGTGAAGCCAAGTTTTTGGTAGGTGAACCTGGAAAAAAACGGACTCTCCTACTCCTCTTTACCTTACCTGCTCTAAAGTCGACCCTGCAGCGGGTTTCTGTGTCATGTAGAATTCTATCAGTCGACAAGATTCTACATGATTGGCACTCTGTGCATCAAGAATATCGACAAAACGCGATTTATTTTATAATTTCATTTCTACATCTAGAGACGTTGGGTTCCTGGGCAGGGATCACGACAAGTAGAATTCTACTTTCATGACGTCACTCGCGATCTATTTTGTCGTGTAGTATAGGCGATGATGACGGTTGCTGGGCAACCTGACGTCATGAAAGTAGAATTCTAGTGGAATTCTACTTGTCGTGAACCCTAGCCCTGATTCGCAAGGCGCTAGATGCGTGGTGCAACAAACACGTTTGGAAAGGAATAAGTGCGTAACGCCCCGGAGCTGTTCTGGAACTCCTCCTAGGTGTGAAAGGAATACAACTAATACTGAACGCACGATGATTGAACGCTCCTTTTACTTTAAATGTTGATAAAAAACTGCTCTGATTTCACTCCAAACCCGTATTTGATACCGGTGTAAGGTACAAATAACTACACTTTACTCTAGGCGGAACTAATACGTTCGGTTTGAAAAAAGAACGGTTCAAAACAACCGCACAGTTTGTTATTGTTTGTGATAGCCAAGCCGTTATTATTTGTTGATTGATGAATTGTGCGATTGTTTTGAACCATTCTAGAACCGACTTTTTTTGAAACCCAAATAGGGCTATTGTCAAATTCAATTGAGTAAAGTAAGCATTCCGGTGTAAATGGTACAATGAGCAACAGGTTGCTTGTTCTTGAAACAGAAGAGCACCGTTCTCCTGAGAGCGAAGGATCTGTCTTCGTCGCCCATATTCATATTTACATAACACTGACAAAGATAGAGCAATCTCATGAGAACGCTGTTTTCCAGTTTCGAGAATAGATATCCAGGAGTGGAGTGCTCTAGGAGCTTGACGCACTTCGCCTGAAAGCGGCTCAGGAACCGTTCTTGATTGATTTAGGGCGGGGTAATACCCGCCCTTAGATTGAACTGATCCGAACGTGTACGCTAAAACGGTTATATTCAATATTTTCGGCTTTACTGCCGAGCGCTTCGCGTCTAGGCGGTGACGTGACGAGGATAATAGAAACTACTACTACAGGATAGCCTATCCTCATAAGGCCTACGTAAAAACTAATCTGAAGCCCCTCATTACCAAGAATGATATACACTTCTACAGGATAGCCTATCCTCATAATGCCTGTGGGAATGGTAACACGCCAATATGGCGGCGATTACCGAAAAAGAGTTTGATAAGCAATCTTGTAGGTGTGTAACATCCTTGCCTCACCACGCCAAATCACCAGTTGTGACGTAGGCAGCATGTCGTTTCTCGCCTTGGCGTAGGCAGTTTGCAAGGATAATACACACTACTGAGGATTGTTTATCGGCCTCGTTTTTGATAATCGTCACCATATTGGTGTGTCACCATTCCGGACGTCATAATTAAGTCGTCAGCTGTTTGCACTAGCGGTCGAAGTTTATTTATCATGAAAATTCACGCCAAATCATTTGTTCTGACGTAGCAGCATGCCCTTTCCCACCTTGACGTGTGTGCATTTCAGTTTTTGGTTATAGTTTATTGGTTATGACATCCGAAACGGTGACACACGAATACGACGGATTACCAAAAACTTGGCCGATAAGCAATCCTCAGTAGTGTGTATTATCCTTGGTGTGTATTACCTAGTGATGTGACAGATCTCTGCGGTACAGTGGCTAAATAAACCTTTACATACAGTGGCGACAATAGAGGTCCCGCCGCCATCTTGTTCCCAACCTTTTGTTACTTTTAAATTTTAATATATAGAATTTAAATGGACATCTATCATAAAAAATTGAAATCGACGTATTTGATGACCATTATTAGGTTCATCAAATACGTTGTTTTCCATTATTTATGATGGATGTTCACCTAAATCCCATATATTCATATTTAAAAGTAGAAAGAGGTTGGGAACAAGATGGCGGTGTTTTCAATATAAATATATGGGATTTTAGAACCAATCAAAAATAGGACAGCAATTGTCGCCACTGTGGTAATAGAGTCACTGTACTCTGCGGGAGTGCTCCGAGGGCGGTTATAATCCAAATGAAGGCACATCCTGCGAAATCAACTCTCTGTTCTCAGTCGTTCTCACAGAAATCACAAACCTACAAACAAATAGAGCGAAATTTATTAACCCTTTTCACGTGGCTCCGGTTTAGCAAACTGCAACATACCGCTTAAATTCGAGGGGTAGGTATCCATCACGTCACTTGGTAACCGGGTTAGAAAACGGTGTGTCATTTCTCTAACCGTTTTGTAACCCGGTTAGTTAAACCGGAGCCACGTGAAAAGAACTATTGGTTGAAAACAGTTAGAAAACTGGCTGTTGGCGATTTGCACCAATAAACGATTTGACTGATTTGTAATTTCTGAGAGAGCAGACCTTTTACTGTTTCCATCAGACAGATTCTTCGAAACAACGATTTTGACGGAGCAAGATAAACCGCTCCGTTCGAGATTTGAGAGCGTTTTATTGCTCAAGTCGAATTCGAACACGTGAATCTCGCCGCTTCGTTTTAAACCGAACATGTAAATCTGTCTCGGATCGCATTTTGATCAATATGGTGCTCTCGGCGAGATTCCCGTGTTCGACTTGAGTCATAAAATGCTCTCAAATCTCGCACGGAGCACTCTTTATTGCTCCGTCAAATTCGATGGATCAAAAAGTTTGATCAACCGTGCGTTCGTTATTTTGGTCCGAGTTCTCCGAGCTTGACTTTACCGTTCGTTTATTTAAAAAGTGTACTCGGTGCAGCCTCATTCGCGTTCGTTTATTAAAATTTCTGGCACTTTTATACAGCGTTCAACTGCTCTGTTCGCTCACTGGTCACGTGATTATGGCTCCGCTCGGCACGCTCTGCTCTTTGAGCAAAATACCGAACGCAAGGCAAGTACGTTCGGCAATTGATCTAAAATGGTGCAACCTCGTTCGGATTAAAATCGCTCTCGGAGCACTTCCGCAGAGATCAGAGCAGTGAAGCCGAAAATGCTATTGGATTTTTGAATCTTGGATCACTTTGGAGTTAGAGGAAGTGGGAATACTGAACCACTTCCAATAAAATACGGATCACGATACACTTGAGTTATTTTTGGAACTATTTCAAATATGTCCTAGAGTTAATGCATACTTTAAATACCTACATTCAGTTTTGGATTTTGTTTTGCCGCGAAGTGAAAAAGGAAAATTTGGATCTCTCCAGCTCCCATAAATATATAATCCGTTTCACGAAGGCTTATATTCACGTCATCGATGACGTCATGCCTTGGAAAGAAGGGTTTGACGTAAATTAAATTCATATAAATAAATTCAATTGCGTTCAAATTTTGTATTAAAGTAAGGCAATGTAAGTAACATTTTCATTCATGTGATTATCAAAATTCACATTCGTTCAAAAACCCGCAAGAAGCTTCCTCTTGAGTTCTTTGCGGTCACTCCTAGAAAAAATAAGGTAGCTTTCGGCTTAACTGTTCGCTAATCACTCTCCGTTTGAGCCGTGACGTCACAGATCTTTGCGGGAGTGCTCCGAGAGCGATTAAAATATAATCCAAATGAGAGTACACCTTTTGAAATTAATAGTCGAACGTACTTTATTGTATTGATCAAACTTGATTGAAATTGATCCATCGAATTTGACGGAGCAAGAAAGAGTGCTCCGTGCGAGATTTGAGAGCGAATTGCTCAAATCGAACAGGTGAATCTTGCCGAGAGCAACGCTCCGTTCACCCGGTATTCATAGACGGGTGCTAGGCTCAAGTTCCGATACGGGCCTTTTTTTAAGACGAACATGTGAATCTGTTTATTTTTGATCAATCGGGTGCAGTTTTGAGGCAAAAGTCGAAAGCGCTATAAATTACAGTGCTATACAACGTTGCCAGACTTATATATTTTCCGTCAACCAGTCACAAATGTCATTTGTCATTACGCACGTGTTGACCTCTAGACCCGCCATTTTCGTCGGCCATCATCAAACAAATTCAATTTTCCACGTTCTTTTACGATCGTCACTTCGCAGCGTTAAGTGCCGCCGCCGGTCTTTATCAAATCATCACAAGTCCAAACCTTAACAAAATCGATCCAGAAATGGCGGACGAATACTTTTTTGCCATGAGCCTCGAAGGTAATAACCTTACCCAAGCGTGGGACCCGGAAGCCAAAGGGGCAAGCACTGACGATTACCAAGGCGGCCATAAGCTGATAATAAAACAGATCGTTTTGGGTGAGGATGCCGTCGAAGGTGAGGTGAACGTGGTTCAAGTGGAGGCGATGTCTTTGAAAGAGTCCAGCAAAGTTCCTATTGCTGTTTTGCAAACCGGTGGATGCAGGCAGCAAATTTCCGTGGATCTGTCTTTCCCTGATCCTCCAGTCACCTTTTCGTTGCTGAAAGGGAAGGGACCCGTTCATCTGATAGGACACCACTTGATAGGCGGACCTATTGAAGAATTCGACGAGCTAGATGAAATGGAGGAAGAAATGGTGGATGACGAGGAGGGCGAAGAAGGAGCTGAAGATGAAGATGACGAAGAACCTAAATTGAAAAAGGCGAAAAACAACTCCAACAACAGTCCCAAGGGTAAATCGCCAGCCAAAAATAATTCCTCCAAGCCCAAAAAATAAGCATATTTTCTCTTTCTAGAATAGCTTTAAGTTTATTTTTTTATTTTGATGATCATGAAAAATAATTGAATCGATTTAACTCATTCTTTTCTGTATTTTTTTCAAGAAACTCCTTTAATTTGTATTTTAGAATGTATTTAGTTTTCATTCCACGATATTTGTAAGTTTGTACCTAGTGGATGATATTGGTGTGTTTGGGTGGTTTTAAACAAACCAATCATAATGAACTTAAGTTTTTATTTAATGTGGTTGCCCCTTAATAATTGGGCTGTAAGATCAATTGTAAATATATAATGTGTCTCAATAAAGTCGGTTTTTGTCAAAGGTATATATATATTTTTTTTATTTCAGGAAATCCTATTCACAATTTGTAGTCCAAAGGTACAGGTAAATTTATCACCTTTCCTTTACAAATTGCATTGAAAGGTAATAAATTTTACCTGTAACTTGGACTACAGATTGTGAATAGATAGATACATCAGAAACGTTGTATGCCTTCCTTTTGTTGTCTGAATAAAGAGCTATTTATGCAAAAAGTTTATGAAATCACAGTACAGTGAACCTTTAAATTGTCTAATAAATTCAAACTTCTTTATTGATATTTTTTAATAAATATCAAAAATTCTCTATAATACCTATGTTTTGAATTGGGATATAAACAGGGTGTTCAAGGGCACAAAAAAATCGAATATGCCTACCCTTGTGCGTCTTGAGATGTCAAAGGTCACGAAAATCGTTTTTTTGCGAAAATCACGCTTCCAGTGCATCTGACGTCAAAGAACTCGAAACAAAACTTACGTAAAAATTGTTCATATAATTTTTTTTATACTACCAACCGTTTTCGAAATATAGCGTGATAAAGGGGAGCGCATATTCAAAATAGGTATAGGTGATACTGTATTATACAGGGTGTCCCCGTTCAACTGGTCAAAAATGCTAGGGTATATAGAGGAACCATATAGAAGTAATTTGAGACAAGACACCGTTGGTCGGAAGTGTGTCGTTTCCAAAATACAGGGTGTTGAAATTTAAACAACCCCCTTTCATATCATCTGGAGGGCTAATGCTAGGCTGTTCAAATTTTCAGGGATTATTGATGTAAGAATGATATTTGAAAATTCGTATAATGCACCCCCATTTTCTACCTAGAACTACCCCAAAAAAAAGAAAAAAATTGAAGAATAGTTATTTTTTCTGTGACGGGAAAAAAGTAGACTTTTTGTACCTGTTGACAGAGGCAAAAATGTCACTTTTTCTCCCATGGGAAAAAAGTGATAAAAAGTGATTTTGTGCTCGCTGTGTTGTCTCCCTCCGCTTCGCGTCGGGAGACGAACCACACCTCGCGCTAAAATCTAGTACTTTTTTCCCTTGTATAATAAGTAACTATTATTATACACTGTTACTTTTTTCCTCGGGAAAAAAAAATTGACTGGTACCTACCTACCTGTTACTTTTTTCCCGTCACAGAAAAAATTGCTTTTTTTTCCCGTCACAGAAAAAATTGCTTTTTTTTCCCGTCACAGAAAAAATTGCTTTTTTTTCAAATTTTAAATATTTTTTCTTTTTTTTGGGGTGGTTCCGGGTCATACGAATTTTTGAATATCATTCCTACATCAGTAACCCCTGACAGTGGCGGACCTAGGAACTTTGGGGCCCGACGCATAAAAAAAATATGAGGCCCTATCATGCTTTTTTTAAGTATTTTTCTTGTGGTGTTGGAGGCATTAGCTGACGTCACACACATAAGCTCATTTTCGATGAGGGGACAAACAAAGCGTGTGTTTGTCTCATGGCCGTTTTCATCAACTATTTTTAAGGAAGCCTTAACGATAAGTATCCTCCAAACTGACATTTCTCCATGGAAATCTTAGGAAAACTGTCATTTTAATTTTTAAGGAAAAGGTACTAAAGCCTAGTACTCATAACTGCGAAATTCGCATTTTTTTGACATTGCGTTGACAATTTGACGTTTTATATGCGTGTATCAAACGTCAAATTGTCAAAGCAATGTCAAAAAAATGCGAATTTCGCAGTTATGAGTAGGTACTATGCTTAGGGTGGGTATTATAAAACTGCTTTGGAAGTTAACTTGAAGTTAACTTTTTGAATTACATGTAATTCCAGAAGTTAATTTTCAAAGTAGTTTTATAATACCCGCCCTTAATCATTAATCAAGGCTTCTCTAAAATATGTAGTTGGCGGAAACGGCCGTCAATGATTAAGGTTGTTTGAAAGAGGTGGGTTGCCTGATAACTTAATGACGTCATCCGGGATGCCTCAACATAATGCAAATCTCCATAGGGCACCCCAGATGCCTCATCAAGTTACCCATTATCAGGCAATCTATTAAGATTAGGAACCTTGGTCAATGATATGTTTTTCTGGTTTTTTTCCGCAAAACTGACGTTCTGTTATTTGTATTTGTAACGTAATAGCTATCGCCAAACCGATGTGTGTAATAGTCCTTAAACGCTTTGTTTGTTCCCCTCTCGAAAGTGAGGGTGTGACGTCAGCTAGTGCTAGTGCCCAATTGAAAAACAAATTTGAGAGTCAGGCAAATATAAATTTGCCGAAGAAAAGAACGCGGACCAAAAATTGACAGGTGTGTCAGCTCCTTTCCTTGACAGTACATCCATAAACCGATTGGCTATTATCGTTATACCTTTATAAAAACAAGTTTGACAAAGGTTCACGATACAACCCACCAATCACCATGTGTGTCCGCCATTTTTCTGCTCTTCGCCCCTCAGGCGTCATCGGCAAAATTAAATTTGCTAGACTGTAAGAACATATGAGACAATATTATGAAAACAAGTTGAACGAAAAAAATTATTATTTGTAAAAATTCAGGAACTTTCTATCAAAACAAATAGAAATTCAACATGCAGTAGTCTCCACCTCCACTTACAAAAAGATCAAAAAAGTAAAACATGCGTCCCGCTTGTCCGCGATTGCCGCATCGCGTCTAACACACAGGCTTTCCTAGAGGTATACAACGTTGCCGTAACTTTGAAAATTTAATTTTCATTTTTTTTCATATTCATGAGTTTTTTTTTATTAATTATTTTTTATCAATGCGACAATGCCTTTAGATCCGGTTGTGTGGGGACCCCTCAGCTCTGGGGGCCCGACGCAGAGTGCGTCCTTTGCTTCATGTTAGATCCGCTACTGATCCCTGAAAATTTGAACAGCCTAATAGCATTATAGCCCTCTAGATGATATAAAAGGGGTGTTGTTTAAATTTCAACACCCTGTATTTTGGAAACGACGCACTTCCGACCATCGGTGTCCTATCTCAAATTACTTCTCTGTGGTTCCTCTATATACCCTAGCATTTTTGACTACTTGAACGGGGACACCCTGTATAATACTATTTTGAATATCACGCTATATTTCGAAAACCGTTGGTCGTATAAAAAAAATTATATGAACAATTTTGTAGGAAATACTCTTTTACGTAAGTTTTGTTTTGAGTTCTTTGACGTCAGATGCACTGGAAGCTAGATTTTCGCAAAAAAACGAGTTTCGTGACCTTTGACCTTCGATATCTCAAGACCACAAGGGCGGGCATATTCGATTTTTTTGTGCTTCATTAGAACATCAAAACGAAGGTCTCCGCAAAAATTCAGCTTGTTCGGCCTCATTCCGCAGATGGCCCTTTTTTTGGTCTAATTTCCCTGGGGTAAACCCAGATAAAATATTTTCAATATGGTGGCTCTTCCGGTAATACGCAATTTGCTTATTTTAAATGAGACACCCTGTATGTAATTGAATATTTGGATTCTCCTCAAAATTTTAAGCAGATTTCATTTGATATGCCCCATACCTAACTTCAACTGTGTCGGAAATAATATAGTTGAAAATTGACTTTTTGCAACTTTGACAGGCTGTAAAACCTAAACGGTAAATTTTAGAGGAAAACCGATTTTACATTCTTGTCTTAGATTTTCATAAATTATTTGACACCATCTTTGAATTTAACCGCGGAGATTAAATTTAACTGGAATTTTTAATAATGGATTAAATTCAAAGTTAGTGTCAAACGATAGTTTGTAAAAATCGAAGATAGGAATGTAAAATCGGTTTTCGTCTAAAATTAACCGTTTAGTTTTTACAGTCTGTCAAATTTGCAAAAAGTCAATTTTCAACTGTCAATATTTCCAAAACAGTTGAACTTAGCTATAGGGATAGGGTACAGTGGCTAAATAAACCTTTACATACAGTGGCGACAATAGAGGTTTCGCCGCCATCTTGTTCCCAACCTCTTGTTACTTTTAAATATTAATATATAGGATTTAAATGGACATCTATCATAAAAAATTGAAATCGACGTATTTGATGACCATTATTAGGTCCATCAAATACGTTGTTTTCCATGATTTATGATGAATGTTCAATGTTCACCTAAATCCCATATATTCATATTTAAAAGTAATAAAATAAGGGGTTGGGAACAAGATGGCGATGTTTTCAATATAAATATATGGGATTTTAGAACCAATCAAAAATGAGACAGCAATTGTCGCCACTGTGGGTTATAGAGTCACTGTAGGATAGGGTATATTACATGAAATCTGCTTAGAATTTTAGGTAGGATCAAAATATGCAATCGTATACAGGATGCTCCATTTAAAAATAACAAAAGTTCTGTCGCATACCTCATAAACGGAGCACCCTGTATATTCAAAAATATTTTTAATTAATGCATATTTGAGTATCAAACAACTTTGTTTTTTAATTTTTTTTTCTTGCATCACCCTGTAAGGAGATCGTCCGATATCGCACAAAGTTGACACCCTGTATGACTGCAAACAAAGCCAAGCTTTGCATAAAATGTTCCGTAACATCTAAAACCAAATAAATAAAACCACAATTATTTCTATCATATAATATTAAACACCTTAATTATAAACCCTTATACATTAAAAAATCTTATAATACTACAAATTACCCAATTTCTAGCAGGAATGGAGCCCCTTGAAATAGATTCCAGTTGGTTGGCTGAAAATCAAAAACTCGTATAATCAGTAAAGTGTTACAAAATACCCAAAAAGAAACTGATCTGAAAAAAAAAAACTACTAATCGCCAGTTTCACAAACAGTGGTAACCCAACGGTGACAAGACACTGGTAACCTACAACATATCTGTTTTATAATGTGTGGTTTTGCTAAAACGATTGATCAAGCTTCAGACTATAAAGTGGTCAACCAGTGCAGGTTACCACCAATTGTGAAACTGGGCCTAAACCAATGAGCTATTTTTTCATGATGAACAATTCATCAATCATGAATAAATCGCTATTTTTGGCACCCAAAACTAAAGCTTCAATAATTTATAAGGAACGATACATTTTTCAGTTTTATACTATACTGTTTATAAAGAGATCCCATTCGTTCTGCAAAAATTCAGCTCCATTTTATACGACTGAAAAATTGAAAAAATTGTATAGGAACTTTGAACTACTTGTGGTATTTAAATTTCTTTATAAACCTTTGAGAGTATTTTAATATTATTATAGTTTGCTCACTTTTGAATTATTGAAAATTTAACTGCATGAAAACAAAGTGAACAAACCATAATAGTTAAAGACAAATAACAAATATCTGCAGTGTACAAAAATTGATTTTAACTAATACTGATTAGTTAAAACAATATATTAACAGTCCCTATATACATTCTGCCTCCTTAAAAACTAAGCTTAATTATCTAATACGACGACTTCGACAACAATATTTCCTAGATTAAAAATACTCTCAAAGGCCTGAAAAAAAAAAATATTTAAAATATACCACACCTGGATAAATAATTGTGAAGTAGGTTCATCTCTTTGCCCTTGAGGCTCATTCGAGGGGGGTCCATCCTAAAAAGAGAAAATTCACAAGTACAAAAGAAGTAATACAAAAATAATTGGTTCGATACAGACAATTTTTGAACCTAATTAACTTGCAGCTTTGTCACTGCACGATTGGCAAAATTCCAATGAAACTTTATTTTTGGAAACATGTAAACATATTCCATCATCTTCTTCTTCCTCTTCAGTTACAGTTTCTTCATCTGCCTCTCCTTTAAATGAATTATAATAATTGTGTTCATCCATTATTGGAGATTCCAAAACGTCCTCGTTAAGAATTTCCAATAATTCCTCATTGTCCATTTCAATTGGTATGTCCATGTCTAGTAGCAATTCATTATCCAGCTGTTGGAAATTAGGACTAGACATTGTGGATTCTGGGGTAGGATATGTGGGGTAAGTAGCTGTTTCTTCCCACGGGTGCCTTGATACGTTTTCTGGCACATTTTTTTTAGCAATAGGGATTGATAGTTTTTTATTTATTGATGTGGATACTGCCATGCCAGTGCCAGCGTTAATTGCCTGCAATAACTTGCCAATACTAGAACTATTAGCCAAGACATTTTTTAAATATTTTACTTCCTTTTTAAGGTTGTCGATGGTGCAACTTTGATTGCTAAGCAATTTATTGAGATCCTTGTTTGCCTCTTTTAATGTAGAAGCTTGTTGTTCCAGACTGGCAATGTATTGTTTTTTTCTCAAGCGATTCTCTCTGGCCATGAGTGCGTTTTTCGTAAAGCATTTTGGTATTCTGGTAGGTTTTCTTGACCTGGCCTGCTGAAAATTATTAGAGACAGTTGTATCAACCCATTTGCCTGACGTCGACGGTTTATTTTCGTTAAATACCTGGTTATTTCTTGGATAATCCATTTCTTCATCGGATGTGCATGTACTTTCCGAAACGTATCTACTACGTTTTGACATCATGGTGTTTGGGGGATGAAAATTGAATTTTTCGAGTGAAATTTGAAATAGAAACACTTTGTACTGTTTAGGGAGAGTCTTTGGATTGTTTTTAACTTGTTTTTAAGCGATTTACTGGACAAATTTTCAGGGAATTTGTTAATTTAAGCGGGACACGTCAAGATCGAAGATCTTGATTTTTGTTTGTTGAAGCAAAATGGCGAGCGTAGAGAAGGGCTTGTCGATACGATATATCGATTTATACATCGATACGTCCATATCGATACAAATTAACAATATCGATACGTATCGATAACGAAATGAGCAGGACATTCATATTTTTTCTATCCCAGGCTCTTGAATGGGGACATTCACCATATTTTAAGTAATTCACTTCACACACTGGTGCGTAAAGTTATGTCAATGACAGATGTTGACACTGTCACTGGTATTTTTCTGGTAAATTACTTCACGCACTAGTGCGTAAAGTGAAAATACTTCACGCACTAGTTCGTAAAGTATTTGTCTAAATCTATTTTTTCACACATATTTGATTGGTAGTAGAAAAAAAAATATATGCAATACGTGCGTAAAGCACCTTTTTTCACTCATGTGATTGTCGCACTCGCCATCGGCTCGTGCGTCAAAATTCACATTCGTGGTAAAAGGTTCACTTTACACACTTGTTGCATAAATAACTATTTTCTACTACCGTGACGTGACGTACGTAAAATTTCTCTTCACGCACTAGTGCGTAAAGTAGTTCCATTGAACTATAGTCAAAAACTGGAATGCGCACAGATTGCCATATCTGCCAAAAAAATGAAGCCATGAAAGACAGATGCCACAAGGGGGAATGTTGTTCTTTTCTGTTGCTCGCTGACATATGACGTTTTTGAAAGTTTTGTCATATTTTCCTTCACTGATTTCATCAATTGGAATACGTGTTGGAAGCAATTTCCGCCATTTAACGTAATGAGTGCGACAAGAACAGGTATCCCCTCCGCAGCAGCGGCACTAGGCTTCACGTTCGTCAATATGTGTACGCATTCCAGTTTTTGGTTATAGTTCATTGAGTAGTTCACTTCACACACAAGTTCACTTCACACACAAGTGCGTAAAGTAATGCCAATGACAGATGTCGACCTGTCAAATTACTATTTTTCTGGTAAATTACTTCACGCACTAGTGCGTGAAAATATTTTACGCACTAGTGCGAAAAGAATTGGTCTAAATTAATTTTTTTCCACATATTTGGTTGGTAGCAGAAAAATTTTTGTATGCAATACGTGCGTAAAGCACCTTTTTTCACTCATGTGATTGTCAAAATTCACATGCGTGAAAAAAGGTTCACTTTACACACTTGTTGCATAAATAACTATTCAAAAATGCTATTTTTATCCCACATATTTAAACGTACTGGAATGGCGCCATTGTATGACGTATATACACATTCCGACCAACAGTGTTGCCAGATTTTGATTTTGAAATTATGGTACATGAAGGTCAAAATTATGTTATTTGAAAAAAAAAAAAAATATGGTAGGTACACGTCAATTTTGTACTGTCCGCTGACGTGAGTGAGAGTGAGATAGAAAAGAACGTTAATGCCACTGCAACTCGGCAACCGATCAACCGTCCACGCAACCGGATTTATGACGTCACGCTTTTCTCTCAAACCTCTATAAACAGGAAAAACATGAGAAAATAAAAGAAGGAGTATTATAAAGTTAAGAAAAATGCAAAGAGGTCAAAATTATGGTAAATAATGTAGGTATTATTGCATTCGCGATTTTACTATGTATTTTTTTGCAAAATTATGGTACAAATACATAATTATGGTACACCTGGCAACACTGCCGACCAATAAGAATCGTTCACAAAAACTCTGGCGCACATCTTATATGCTTTCCTTGTCTAAGTTCTGAAGAGTGACAATGATGAAACTCCTCATTCGTTATTTGCATCTTGTTCGTTTAACGCTGGTCAACATAACCTACTTCAAGGATGATACACCTACTACTACAGGATGGCCCATAGACGGATGGCCTATCTTCATCATAAGGCCTGTGACTAACAAATTCCCCCTACCCCCCTACGCCAAACAACCAGTTGTGACGTAAGCAGCATGGCGTTTCTCGCCTTGACGTAGGCTGCTTATACAGCTGACGACTTAGTTATGACGTCAGCAATGGTTGAAAACAGTTGAAAACCAATATGGCGGCGATCACCAAAAACTACAGTGACCAAAAACGAGGCCGATAAGCACTCCGAGTGTGTATTCTCCTTGAACCTACTTGACGTTAGACAGTGCAACGTTGCCAAGCTGAATTTCGTGATTTCTTAATACTAAAATGACGTGTGACATAAATCCTTTTTCAACACTAGAAAAACTGTTGTTCTACAACTAAACCTACTAACAATTAAAAAGTTACATTAATTTTATAACTGTAGTCCAAAATGTACAACAAAAAACTAAATAATGCGACGATAAAAACGAGGTTTCTAGAGGCAATCTTGGAAATCAACAATGACAACGACAATCTGGCAACGTACTTTTTTGCAGTATATTTTTGGCAGTTGTAGGGACTGACGTCATATTCGGCGGGTTTTCTGCGGCGTTTGAAATGCTGCTGAATTTAGGTATATTTTTTATTAAAAATTAACGGCGACTCAAATGTTCCCCAAAATAGTGTTATTAGACTTAGTTTGTGTTCTAGAATTAGAAAAAAAATAAAAAGAAAAAAACACTAAATATCCCCATTCTCTTATTTCAACAAATCCGCAAGAGCTGGAGATAGACAAAAATTAAGCTGGAAAAATTGAGAAATAGAGAAAAGAAATAGAGGAATTGAGAAAAAAATTGGTAGATAGGTAGGTATTCTAGACAGCACACAAGATCTTAAAAGACGTCTTTTTTAGGTATGTAGACACTAAACATCTTAAAACCAAAAAAAAAGACGTCTAAAAGACGTTGTTTTGAGAATGTCGTAAAGTCACAACTATTTGGTACAACCAGGCCTAAAAGTGAATAATCGTTTTATGTATTCAGAAGAGATTCAAAGACGTCTCTAAAACATCTTGTTGAAGACGTCTTCAGAATGTCTTAGTCCTAACGACGTCTCCAAGCAGACGTCTAAAAGACGTAAGGTTTTGTAACATACGAAGCCTTCAAGATGTCTTTAAAACGCCTTGAAGACATCTCGATGTCGTTTGTGGACATCTTAGGGATGTTTTTAAGATGTCTACAAAAATTTTCCACAGAGTTCGTTTCTTATTCAATTTAGAAGTTACTCCAAACCATTTAGAGGGAATGGTGTCAGACAGTGGGGATGAATCTAAACTCCGCAAAAACCACACTGGTAACATTTACAAAAAGAATGAAACTCCCAAACCTGAGAAACATTCGCCTCCATATGGAAGCAGCTTGATTGGAAAAAAGAAGTTTCTAAACTTCTCTGGAACCGACATGCAGAGAACACAAAAAACAAAGCAATCTCGGCACTCATGGTCTGCAAAAACATTGCGGGTAAAACATGGAGTTGTAACACATCAATCCTAAGATGAATGTATACCATGATAGTGAGACCTATCATCACGTACGGAGCGGTAGCCTGGTATAGCCGAACTCAGAAACAGCTAAGAAAACTCTAGGAAAAGTGCAAAGACTACCCAACAAACACAAGTACGTCTTTAGTACGTCCATAGTTCGTACTTTTTCGGACGAAAGTACGCCCGTGGACGTACTTTTTAGGTCCCGCCGACGTCCGAAGGACGTCTTTAAGACGGTCGTTTTCCACAAAATAGTACGTCCGACGTATGTACATTCAGGGACGAACTCAGTACGGCTTTTTAAGTACGTATTGGGGACGTACATTAACGTACGTATTTAGTATAGCTTTTCAGGCATGTGTTTGGGACGTACAGGGTTTTCCCATATATTTTTGCACCCTACCGGAACTGGTTGATTGAATAGGTATCAAAAAGATGTAAATACAAATGTTGTGTTTACACCTTTTTGATACCTATTCAACTAACCTGTCCAGATGGGGAACAAAAATATATGGAGAAAACCCTAAACATAGAGGTAGATATGTATTTATGTGTAGGTATCTTTATAGTGAAAAATAAAACCATATATATTGTATTTTATTTTCAAGTTACAATTTTCATACTTAATAAATACCTTAACAATTACACTGAAAAACTGAAAAAAATTAACAAAATATCAAATATAACATAGGTACTCTTAAACTTAAACTTAACCTAACAACAGTACATAATATAACAAAAAAAATTAAGGAAAAGTGAAGAAAAATTCCAACCTTAAAAAAATATAGGTAGGTACAGAAATAGGTAGGTATCCTATAAAACAAACATAATAATATAGAAAATTGTAAAAGGGCATAAACCAGAAAAAGTTTCACACAGTAATAATCTTGGTAAAAGTATTATTATACACACAAAATAAATATAGTAAAGTGTATATAGCCAAGCCGCGAAGCTGCCAAGCTATGAAGCTAAACACTTGAAGCACATGCCGGCGTTGCTGCAATCAATACAAAATGGTTCTCGCGTCACTTAATTTGGCAAAAAAAAACAAAAATAGAAGAAAACAAAACCTAACACCAACACAACACTCTACAAACAAACACAAGAGAAAAAGGCAAAAGCAGGCAGGAACAACTCAAGCGAGGCGTCACATCAAAATAATGAACAGATGAACCCCCCAATAAGCTGTGGTCGAAGATGCCAGTGTTGCCAGATGTCAAATTCAAAATTATCAGAAAAAGTTTGTGTCAATTTTTTTGACTTTCATCTCTAATCTCTATTTATATTTTTCTAACAAAAAAATTAACCAAAAACTAACGGTGCTGTGAGGTCAACTCATTTCTAGCTGGGAAGTATTTGGTGCGATCACCCGTACGTCAAAACCTGAGGTCAAAACCACCAACCAAATAAATGTTTAATTTTCAACTAAAAATTTTGCATGATATGCATTGAAATTGTAGTTTCATTCAATTATGGTAGATTTAGCTTGTGATTATCGATTATTGAATTGTAGTCAAAATGATGGTAGATTTCGATAATTATCGGGTCCTTGGCAACACTGCACCCTGCTGTTGTCAAGCGGCCGACGTCCCTTGCTTTCCAATGCTTTATTTCATGTTTATCTTATCTTGAAATTTGACCATTTATTTAGGTCAGGTACCTAAATGAAATATAAATCCTTGAAT